CCTGGCGCGAGGGACGGGCCAGGACTCACTCGGGGGGGGGGGTTATGCTCGTTGATATCATGACTACTATCATCAGCATTATCGTTACCATTATTTGTGTTATTATTACTATTATTTCGTTGTTATTATCATTATTATAATCATTACTATTATTATTCCTATTATCATTCCTATTATTATTATTATTATTATTATTATTATTATTATTATCATTATTGTGATCATTATTATTATAATCATTATCATTATTATCATCAATATCATTACTTATCATCATTACTGTTATCATTAATATTATTATCACTTATAATTATTGTTATCATTATCATCACCATCATCGTATTAATAATAACAATAATTGTAATTTGGAACAGACGAACGACGATATCACCTCAACGATGTAGACGAATGACCATTTTTTATCACAGATTAATCTAAGAAAAAAAAGAAAGAAAAAAATCCCCGCATTATTCAAGCGACCGAGTAAAACCGAAGCCACCGCCAACGCATTTCGGACGCACCCATCGCGAAGAGCCTCCCCGATCTCCTTCGCGAAATGCAATCCGAACGCCGCGTACTTTCGATCCCCCCCCCCCCCCGTGAGACCTCGCCTCCCCCCTCCCCCCTTGCCCCTTTCCCTCCCCTCCCCCGCCAAAATTTCCTCCCCCCCCCCGAGTGATCGAAAAAAAAAAAAAAAAAAAAAAAAAAAAAAAAAAAAAAAAAACACGAGCGAATCATCCGAAACCGCAGACCCTCGGAAGCCCCGGTAACCCTCGGAAACCTCAAGAAAGCCAACCGTGAAAACGCCAGGTCGCAGTTGACGAAACCCCAGGGCACTTCCCCCCTCCCTTCCCTTCCCCCTCCCCTCCCTCTCCTTCCCCCCTCTCCCTCCCCTCCCTCCCCCTCCTCCATACTCCGCCCCTCTACTCTCTCCCTCCCTCCCCCCCCCCTCCTTTCTTAGACCTTCACCTTGACAAGTGGGTTCGTAACCACCAATTAGTGGCTCAATCAGCAGCTATCATTACCTTAATTAGGCTCATCACCATCCCCCCCCCTCCCCCCACCCCCCCTGCCGCCTCTCCCTCGCCCTCTTACAACGAACGCGCTTCGGTCTCCTAAGATAGATGGCGCTCCGCAACCTCATTAATTAACGACCTAACTCGCCGTCATTACGCGAGGTGTGCGCGAGCCTCTCCCTCATTAAGCCGATTCCCCTCATTATACACTTATCATAAACTCCCGATGCAATTACGGCCGGTCCATCAGTCAGTCAGGGAGTCGAGTCAGTCAATCGGAGTCGAAGGCGGGATGCAGTTTCCTCCTGCGGGGGGGTCTCTCTCTCTCTCTCTTCTTCTCGCTCTCGCTCTCCTCTCCTCTCGCTCTCTCTCTCTCTCTCTTCCTCTCTCTCTCTCTCTCTCTCTCGCTCTCGCCTCTCTCTCCTCTCTCTCTCTCTTCTCTCTCTCTCTCTCTCGCTCCTAACCCGCAGTCCGTCCTCGCGAGGGAATAGGCTCGATCAGTAGCAACTCGAAGGTGTCATGGC